GGATTTGCAAATCAGGACATCATAAACAATCATGTAGTCCTTAGCAGAGCTGTATTTGGTTGCATGTTACTGTGCATTATGGTCGAACACCTCAACTTTGGTCTCATGTGTCCAAACAGCAATATCACAGAAGTCTTGTGGTTTGTTCAGATGCAGCTTTGCAAACCTAAGTTGTGCTGCCATCGTTTTAGAAAGAAGAGGCTTTCTCCTGCCAACACACTTGTTCAGTCTTTTTCTATTTGGAGATTAAGTATCGGGATTTCAGGAGCAGGACCACGCCTCCAAACACGCTCCTTACTGTTCTCATCTATATAGGTTCCCCCAGTTCTACAAGCTGTTCATTCTCATTTACGTGCCACACCCTCTCTCCCCTTTTCAATTCTTTAACTTCTTCACTTCTATTTAGTACACAGGGATCTGCCAGGCCCGGCAGCCGCCGCCAGTCCATTCCAGTCCAGTGTCTCAGAGCATTGCAGTGTCACTAAATTCAGACTTTAGGTTGAAGTTACTAGGATGGCCTGTCTCTAATATACATGCAGCTATTGTTTTTTTTTAACTGTATCTAATAAATTAGATGCTTCACAGAATTAGATATATAGTCAAAACAAGGTATATGTAACATTTAATATCACCTTTACTTTAAGAAAAAAAATGTTTTGTCTGCAACTTGAAGAAAATGAAATGTGTCCGATGAGTCATTGCTTGGGGAAATCAATTCATTTAGTTTACAGAGGTGCTAAGTTATTTATTGCCTGTCAGCATGAGCTGTTAGTTCAATTTAATTTCTAGCTGCAGAAAAGCACAGAGACGCTACAGAGGAAATTTGAAGAGAATTACTTTATTTATGCAAACAGGATGCGCTCCTAAAAAAATGACATCAACATTTTTCAGACCTTTTTTTTTTTTCTTCTTTTCGCACCGTATTTCCCTGTGGTACCACAGTAACATCTACAGTTTTATATTGGACTGACAGGTTGCATTAAACAACACACTTGTCCTTCGTCTGCTACATTTGAAACAATTCCCAGCGGCCAATAAAGACATATGAGACTATAAAAATTAAGGGGAATATTGCAAATGAAGGCAGAAAAATTCTAATATTGAAAATAAACCAGAGATGTTTATCAAAGGAAAGGAAAGGTAGCGCTGTGATAGCTTTTGGACATGCCAGCAGCAGTGACAGTGACTGTTTCCTCCTGAGATTCAAGGATGCACACAATAAATCTGTTAGCTGACAAATAATAAAGTTTTACAACTAACAATATGAGGGCAAAAAACCAAAATAAATAAAAATACAAAGCCTTCAGCATTCAGGAAAATTTAAAACTCAAGACAATGTGGACCCTTGAGTTGAGGTCCATTTCACATTAGCTGAAGCTAACTCAAAGATGCTAGGATACTGCAGCGCATATGCTAATACTGCACTTCTTCTCATTATTATTACCTTTTAAATTCTTACTGCTGCTGATATTTTGTTCTTAATCATTTGTACCTATTCAGTACAGGAAATAGCTCTTACCTTTGAATGTGCTACAACAAACTATAAAGAAACAAATGGACATTGTGTCCCGCTTGTACCTTCAGCCACAGACTGTAATCAACCACCGAGCTAAAGCTCTCTTTTTGCTACACTACGGCACGCCTTCATCCTTCTTCCTCTCCTTTCGGTTGGCTGTTCCACCTCCATGTTTGTTGTAAGACTGCTTCACCCAAGCTGAAAAAAACATGTTTTACAGTACTCATATTAGAGACTTCTTACAGTTATATTACAGACTTTTTAGCTTGTGTTGACTTAAACAATGAATTCATGCAAAGATTATTTAGTGAGGCATACAGGCAGTTGCAGTATATGTACTACAATACAGCAGGTAGAGAAAGTACTTTTATGCCTTGTGAAAGAAAAACTTGACTATATGAGTTTATTTATTTAATGCTACTTGTACTCATGAGTGGTCATACTTACCACAAAAGCTGCCTCTAAATCAAAATGAATGAGTAGATCATTGATATATAGTAGTCAGTTATATTGTACTCTGCACTTAGTGTACTTACACATTTGTAAGTTCTTGTTGTACCTTTACTTAATAGTAGTAACGAAGTATTTTGTACCTAAAATATTGCTACTTATATACAACATCTAATCCACGTGTCAAAATAATTTTAGCTTATTAGCTAAATTCAGCCCAAATTCACTGCAGATGGCTGCCCTTCCCCCAAAGCCTGGTTCTGCTCAAGTTTTCTTCCTGTTTAAAGGGAGTTCTTCCTTCCCACTATCCCTCTGTACTCCACAGTCACCAGATCTCAGCCTAATAGACCACGTTTGGGATGTGGAGGAGCAGGAGATTCACATCATGGATTTGCAGCACCTGTGCGATGCTGCCGTGTTCAACGTGTACCAATATTTCTGAGGAATGTTTCCAGCACCTTGTCGAATCTGTGCTGTGAAGAATGAGGACAGCTCAACCCAGCAGTAACAAGGTGCAGGAAATAAAGAGGCCAGTGAGTGTATATAAAGGAGTAGTTATTCCATTTTCCAGGGTATCAGACTTCGCTGCCATTTTCAGTCTTTACAAAGACATCCAGTGGTGTAAACTGGATCTATTGGTGGATGCCTCCTTCTTTGGCACCTAAATGTTTAAACAGGCTCTCATCTGAAGCTGGGGAATATCCATTTATAATGTTAGATGTCTTTAATCCTAAACTGTTGGATGACCGGACATAGTTGCATGTTTGAAGCAGCACTTAATAAAAAGCACTCGGATCAATTATATATAATATAATAATAATATATAGTCAAAGGGTCATGGGTGTCTTTGAGGTGTAATCATTTAGCAACCACAATGGACCAACTTTTTATTTAAGTTCACATTTTCCACTTTCATTAGATAAACACTGCACAAAGTAAATTATTATTTAGCAAAGCTTTCCAGGACGTCTGTCACACATACACTAGGTCTACTGTTTCCTCTAACCTAGACTTCCTAACATCTCTGGGAAGACAACAAGTCAGCTCTGAAAACTCTAAATCAGGAATGTCAAACTCATTTTACATTATGGGCCACATGCAACCCACTTTGATCTTAAGTAGACCGTACCAGCGAAAGCCCCCTTAACTACACATTTACAGTCCATGAGATGTTTTAATACAAGATAAAGAAGTTCAATTTTAGCAGTGCGGCTCAGCTTTTCCACATGAAAAGAAATGCAGCTGTAGTAAATGGAAGAAATGTGTTTGAATAAATAAATAAATGTGTAAAATCACAAAAAAAACCTCTCCTGTAATTACAAAACTGAATGTTTTTCATTCATAGAACACCTTTTATATTTTTAAACTGAGCCAATTGTGAAATAAATACATTGTATGGTAAATGGTGGGAAAAAAAACAGTAATCTTTCCGTCATTTAACTGTTTATCTATTAGTCAGTTACTGAAGTCTAGTTTGAATGACAATGGGGGAGGTTTTTAATAAGTAGGAAATGCTTTAAAGTTCATGAAAATACAGTTAAAAGTTCAAAATTTATGCCCTTCTTTCTCATTTTTTTTTTTTTGTTTTAAAGCTATCCAGTGAGCTGGATTGGAGTCTCTGCCAGGCCGATTCTGGCCCCCGGGCCTTATGTTTGACACCAATACCCTAAATGAATCTGAGGCTTGAGGATCAGCGAGAACTGAATCACCAACGAGCGTCGCAAACCCAGAGCCTTGGCCCAAAACGAGAGGTGCGACTATGAACCGGCGGGCTCGACGTTTTTCTGCGCGACCTTGTGTTTGACTTTGATAATGGCGCCATTCACAGAACCATCACGCTTCAATATTTTAACACGGTTCATTAGGTTCATTCGAATTCACAAAGCACTCCTTCAACAAAACAGTATCGTCTCACCTCCATCAATCCCATTTTCCAGCCTACTCATTTTTGAGGTCTGCTTAAAAAGCCATTTAATAGCACACACCAAATCGTAATTGGCATTCTAATAGCAGTAAATGACGCCGACAAATACTCACCCATCATAGACACTACAAGCACTTTACAATCTTTGTATCCCCCTGTCTTTTTTTTTTTTAAACTAAAGTGGACATTTTCGTTCCCTCTTCACATCATCAGCGAGCGCGGAGATACCTGCACATAAATTCACAGAGAGCGACACGTTTAACCCTCCCGCCCTCACCTCTTCCATGAAATAACCCTTTTAAATGCAAATACCTGGAGGCAACTGGCTTCTTATCGCACATTTCATTGTCTCCTTCGGGGTAGTGGGATAGAAAGCCTTTCTTCTCTTCATCTGCATGTAATTGCGTGCACACGGACACACACATACATGCAGCAACCATACAGTTTATGCTGGAGCAAAGCAGCTTTAGAATAAATCAGAGCAAAAGAAACTGCCCTGTTAGGCTAAGAGACGCTATTAATTCTCGCTGACTGACAAAAGCGCGAGAAGCAGAATTTAATTTAAAGTTATCCTGGTGGGAGAGCTGGCAGGGTCTTTGTTTTGATCTACAGGAGTGAGTGGGTAGCTGTCTAATCATATCATGCACTCGTGTCATTTTTGAGCCAGTGGGTAGTTTATGACCACTTGAAGGCTTACAGTTCCTTATCGGGCGGGCAGAGCAGAGAATAGCGGGATTTTGTATTGCTGTGCACGCTTTCAGTTTAACAAGTCAAACAGGTGTTGGGTGAAGAAAGGCTTCAAGTGTCTACAAGATGCAAACAGCACTGATACCACCTGCTCTGCCTTACAAACCCATGAAGTAACACACTTTTCTGATCCTCTCACATCCTCTAAGGCTGACTCGAGGACAGCTGCGTTTCCACGTGACATCATTATTAAGAAAACCTGACTCTGACTGGTGCCCGAGACCACTTTCAGTGTAATGTGAGTCTATAAACATGCCCTTGCTGTCCTCTCGCAGATTAGACACAGCCCTGCGGATGTGCTCTGACAGAGTAACACTGCCATCTAGTGCTCGATGGGAGAAACACATTTGGAAAAGTGATATCCAATCCCATGCAGGAGGAGGGGTCTTTGTTTAATGCAAAAACACAATTAAACACCATCTAGGAATCATTCCAATGTGGAGCAAAACAAACATCATGGTTTGAGCTGAGCTCTACAAACAAGACAGGATGTGCAAACTGAATTATTTTAAGAGCATTAATCATTTTACAAAACACATGAAGTAAAGACACGCTATGTGTTTGCCGTTACATGAGGGGTTTTCCCGTTACTTGCTTTCATTAGAGCCTTTATGGCTCTTGCTCTCATTTCCAGCTCCAGTAGCTCCAGCTGCTGAATCGACGGCTTACAAACGGCCGGGTCGCCGCTGGAAACGGGTCCGCTGACATCTGGGGACTGCAGCGGTGTGCTCGGTTCTTTAGCCGCGTCTTTGATGGGAGTGGAGGAGCACGCCAAGATCTCGCTCACGCTCTTGTCTATGTCGCTTTGAATGTCTTTCTTCGGCTCTGGATTTGCCGGCTCTGGATTTGCAGCCGGGTCAGTGCACAGCCTGCTGTCGTCATCGTCGTCTCCCTCCTTCACTGCGGCAGTCTGCTCCTCTTTAACGGTCTGCTCCTCTTTGGGTCCTTCTATGTCGCTGTCGTAAGTGTCTGCGTTTATGCTGAGGACGTCGCTCTCTTCACCAGAGCCGCCAGCCTCTGTGAAGAAAATTACAGTCATTTCAAATGTGAAACGTCCCTTTACGGCCTCCTTCTGTCTTTGAAGTCTATAAATGCCTCGGGGATGTTCTTTGTAGTCATTACATATTAATTACCTTGCTTTGGGTCCTCGCTTTTTGCAGTTTCCTTGAGGCACGATGTTGAGTCTACAATACTGTCTTGCCTTGGCGGAGGGAAAAAATAAACATGTGAAATAAAAACACAGTCACAGTGTAGTTGTTCACTGATTAACTGTTTTACTCACTGGCTTTCCAAAGACTCCTCAGAGTTTTCATTGTCATTCCCGGCGGTCACCTCCTCCCCTTGACACAACGACACATTTTATGTGAAATTAAATGTTTTGCAGAAGTTTCAAAATGATTTTTTTTTCTAAAATAGAAACGTGCTTCAGTCTTACCTGCTAAGATCTGAATGAGATTTTTCTCCATGATGGGTTCCAGCTGCTCCCAACACAGCGTTTTGATTTCCTCTACACTGCATTCCTGTAAACGACAACATCTTTAAAAAGTATCTCATATGCTGGGCTACTTTAATGGCCTCCCAAGCCTTTGGCCTTAGCTCCCGTCTGCATGAGAACTAATCAGTTCTTTTTATTTTCAGATAAAGAGGAAAAGTCGTACCAGCGACTTGGCAACAAATATTTAAAAATAGCAGGTAAAGTCCAGCTGTTTGGAAATGAAAACCAATGATGTGTGCCACCACTTCACAAAACACAAACACAAATTAAATGTTAAATTCAGGGTCTACTGTAGGGCAGACAGAAAGATATTTGAGAGTCAAAATTTATAGGAAGGAAGTCTAACATTTCAACTGTGGCCTATTTACAAGTTTGGCAAGAATCTGGGCAAAAATATTCTTTGAGTATTAATTATAATTTATTCAAGAAACACACAAGTGCTTGATGCAGGTGGTCCAATCAGTCCAGAGTCCCAATAAGATGTTGAGTCTTGCAGATAACCGACAACGAAAGCCTTTTCAAACAAATCACCTTGAGTTCATCAGGAAGCATCTTCCGTAGCTTCTTCTCCCCCAGCACATGGAAGCACTGCTCCAGCATCTCCCGCTTGTCACCGACGTAAGCTGTGATGGGCTTAAAGGCCAGGCTGAGGTCCAGTCCCCCTTCCTCAATGTCACTGCCAATTTTGTCAAGCTCAGGATCAGCGAGTTCGTCCTTGGAGTCCTTTAAGTGGGGAAGACAAACTAAAGCACGCAGCTGCACTTGTATACACAGAATATGCTCTGCAAACTTAAATACAGTCTCCACAATTAGGAAACAAATAATTTGAACACAATGTTGTGACTCAGGCTGTTTTCAGTATTTTTTTTTGTTAAAGAGAAGATACACTCAGTTAATTAAATAGTGTAACAGCATGAAATCCAGCAGCACAGTTGCATTTAAAGGGATCATTAAAATTCATCCAAAGCAAATTTTAGTGCTGCGTAGTGGCTGAAATCCTTTAATTGGTTCTTATTAGCTAAAAGAATGTTAACTACACTAAAAAAATGATTTAAAAAAGACAAATTAAGATTTTCCTTTTATTATATTTAGACACTGCAGTGAATAAGCAGAGCAAACAATTCATTCAGTGCGACTTAATCAAAGTATTTAAAAAACGGTAACATGATGGTTTTCCCTCAGAGAGCACCAAACCAACAGTGAGGCTTTAACGCTAAAATAAAGTTCTTGTGACAATACAAACATAACACATAACGCAATAATAACAATAATAATCGAGAGACACTCGAGGTACACAAAACATCAAATGCGTCAACTTTTCAATCATTTAAACCAGTACGTAAATTTTAAACACAATTTAATTTACCCTCACATTTACCCTAAACTTATTCACATATATTTGTGGCTGTTATACTCCTGAACTTCTTTTCTATGGAGTTTAGCAAGGCGCTAGTCCCGAAAGCCTCACCTCTAAACCGGGTCCCGTACTCCTGCGTTTACCGCTGTCATGTCGCTCCTCGGACTGAAAGTGCTTCCTTTTCTTCTCGCTGGTGCTTGATTTCTTTTTGAGCATTTTAAACCCAGTCAAACTAGTCCTCCACTGAAAACCGCTACAACCGCCGAAGCTAAAGGTCGCGGGAAACACACGTCATAAGCGAGCGACGGCTTCTTCTTTGCGTCTTATCTGTGGCATTTATCGCCACCTATTGGACAGGAGCGGTTCCAGCTCGTGGCTCTCAGTGATGTCACTCACTGAGACGGGTTTGTTTATGCCACAGGCTTAGCTGATAGTAAAAGAATGGAGAATTGATTTAAAGGGTGAACTACGGTGCTTTTACTGCACTCCTCACCACCTGATTTTCCTGTAATCACCTGAGCCAAGGTGTGAAAGCGGGTGT